ACACAGAAAGTATAGCACACCGGATATTTGTAAGGAAGCTGGAATTTTTTTTAAAGATTCTGGTGATATTTTCCATTCTTCAAAACAGAAAAGGGCTAATATAAGGGGCATTTTTACTTACATTTTCAAAAGTGAGTTAGCTTACACCCCTAAAATATGTTATTTTGGGTTTAAAAAGTCAACAGCAGTTATTACATTCAGGTTTTGTAAATTAAACAAATTAATCTAGGGTATTGAAGCTGCTGCAATTTTGGCGGCCATTTTAAAAGCGCCCTCAATTGCCTCCGGGAATCTTCACATTAATAACTTTAGCTAATTATACTTTACTCCTATCATTACATATTCAAAAGTTGGTCAAACCACCCTCTTCTGTGCTTATTTTACCCATATATATGTAGTTTATTGGATTTTGGCGGCCATTTTGAAAAAGTGCCCTCATGCGAAAGTTCTCAGGTTACACCCCTTTTACCTCACATATTCTGATTCCCCATAAAAAACTGGTCTAGAAAAACCATATGAGAATTTCTACCTCTCCAAGTGGCACCTATCTCAGTTATAGCCTGGTCTATGTCCTCATGAACAGAATAATAAAAGAAAGTTTATGCAGCATCAGTGTTTTATAAAATGTTATAAAGCTATACGCGCGCACGCTGTTTGGTGACAACATGGCGCCCATGCGCCAAGTTGGCCAAACTCTCTCTATCTACGGCTCTGTTTGGTTCAGAGATATTGCGCCCTCAACCGTAATCATGCGAATCTAAAATGTAGTTACCTAGGCTTTAGAGTAGAGGCCTAGGCGCAGTGCTGTGGTTTATTGTAATATTTAATGTTTTCATCGGAAAACTGTCTTATAATCAATGAAATAACTAAATATTGACCAGAAAAAGTTGATGATCGTTAAAACATCCAATGAACTTCAATTTTTAATAGATCTCGAGGACGGAGCAGCCACTCCGAACCGTTAAGCGCACGCTTGACACACCACCACGCTCGAGTACATGTGTATGCAAATAATAAACTCTGGTTTTATCATCACGGGGATGGGCAGTTTCATGAATGAGTGTTCAACGACGAGATGTGTATTGAAACTCACAACTGATCTGAACAAGAGAAACCAAAGAATAACAATTTCTTTTTTGAGAAATGGCCCAAACTAAACCTCCAACGGGCGGTAGTGAAGAGAAGAATCAGTCTCCTCACGATAGTGGAGACGATAGCGAAGATGAAAGCAAGGTTTTGGAAGAGAGTCCATGTGGAAGGTGGCAGAAGCTGAGAGTTGTGGTGAGTAGATTGAATGGAATACCCGATTGAATGACAACGGGTTGTGAACACAGTTGGCGCGGCGGCGGTCATTCATCATTCAACCGTTGTTATATTGTGGGTTGTGTAAAGTAGCTTAGCTTGTTCTGGCCTAGGATGGGTTTTATCATGAACTACTAGCCTAGGCATCTAATCTAGAGAACATGATTTAAATATACCAAATTCTGCGCTATTGCTGATATATTTCTTTGTTAGTTTTTAGTCAGTATTTTGTGGAACAAACGGTTAACATTAACAATAACATGTCAACAGAAAGAAACTGATGAATTGTTTTTAAAAATAGGGGCCTAGACCTAGGCCTACAGTACCTAGGCCTAGGCCAGGAAATTTGTTAAAATACAGGAATAGCAATTCTTTTGAAGAGAAGATACTACGAACATGCATTTGTAATTTGACTATATAGGCCTAGAACGCAATCGGATTCTGTCTATGCCTAGGCCCTAATTTAAATAATAGTAGTAGTAGGCTTACGAAATTTTCCAACTAGCAGGTCCTATCATCAGTGGCATAGGGGTCTTGAAATAAAAGGGAGCTGATAGGGTGGGAGATCGGTGATTAGGTAAGGCACGCCCCTCTATAGAAAAAACAGAGTGACATCATTGTTAATTGAAGATATGTAGATTTATTGAAAAGTAAAAGCAACATTGAGTGATGAAACCACATACTAATTGAATAATTAAAATGGTTTTAAATTAATAGACATTGAAATTATTGTTACAAATTATTTCAACATTGATTAATTTTTGATAACTAATTAAGAAATCACTGAAATCGAATGGAAATTTGATTTTTTTTTCATAAACTGTACTTAAAATATAATTTATGTACTCTATTGATTGATGCATACCATATGGCAAAACTTCTTATGCCAGGAAATTTTCATTACGGTAGCTACACTGTTTGTAATTTTCCACTTGTCTGTCTCTGTATTTTGTCAAAAATGATTCTCTTCCTTCATTGGCCAACGCAAATTTTGTACATGATGTACTGTAAACAAAGTCCTAGATAACACTTTATTATCAATAATTATTCAGTACTGTAGGTAAACGGCATTGGAATAACCTCCGGATAGTCCATTGTGAATACTTAGCAGATGCTTAAAATTTAAATAAAGGAGTGTATAAGGCTAACAAAAATTAATTGTTAGTTTCACTTCTAGAATTTCAAATTATTTTTTGGTGATGGTATTTACTATTTGCTATTTACTATCCGAGTGATAAACAGGCTGGTAGTACCTAATATTAAATTAAAAAAAAAAAACAAAAAAAAACAGTAAAGTGAATCATTTGTATATTACTTTTTTCAACCATTTTATGTTTCCACCTCTTCCTTGACGTTGACAACAATTTTTCGGATTTCATAATTTTCATTTTCCATGGAAAAAGGATTGTTTTTTTGAAAAATAGCAAATAGTAAAACGTAAAACTACTTTGCATTTAAATTTATTTGGCCAAAGTAACTGAGGAGATGAACGTGGCATAAACATTGTGGTGAATTAAGCCACTTTCATACAGAGCTATGTTACTGCAAGATTGCGGAAATCTTCCCACTATTGCCTTCTGTATGAATAGGTCAGGGCTAACCGCAGCCCTAGTAATATTACTGCAATATTGCTGGAATAGTACGTTCCAGCGTGTGTTTGAAACTGAAGCAGGTCACTAACCCGCAGTATTACTTCAGTCTAAATGAAGATAACGAATTGGACAAATGTTGGAAAAAGGTAAAAAGGAAGAAGAAAAGAACAGAATTGTTAGTACAATGGTGAATTTGACAGATATGTGCAAGATTAAATTTGCCAGTGTTCAAGGTAATTAGATTGTAAGTAATGAACTACAACAAAGTAATAAAATTTGCCCTATTATCCTTAAAACTCATCTGGTATTTTTGGTGCATTGGGCGGGGGGGGGGGGGTGTGGGGTTGGGACTGCATGCCAACATAGAAAACACAACAATCTGAAATTCTCGGAAATATTGATATAGCGTGTACAGTATCGGTTATGTCGTAAATCTAGGCCTAGCATAGTGGTTACAGGCATGCCTGAGTATGTAGTCCATTCATACAGAAAGGCGTAATTATGGCAATATTTTTATGGTATACCATAAAAGGATGCATGTCGGTAAGCATACTGGCATCGTTATCACATTATCGCCAGCCCGTCTGTCTGAAAGTGGCTTTAGAGGCTGCCAACAGTGAGAAATGAAGTTTTTTTTTTTTTTCATGTGGCACATGTCATGGAGAAAGTAAAGAGATGATTGATGTGTGTTTTCAATTGAATACATTAAATTCTAATAGCGCTCTATGAAATTCACTAACTTGAAATTAAACTTGTAGTCGACAGTGCTTTGCCAGGGAAATAAATTATGTTCTCCGTAAACAAGTCATCAGTATCCTTTATGATAGAGTACTTTGGAGCTATTCAGTTTAGCTCTGTGCTGCTATTATATTGCCATTCAAGGTACAATAAAGTCGGCCACTCGCGGCGCCTGGCAGTTGTCGGCCGATGCAATTCTATGGATAACGCAGCGACACAATGTGCTCGCAATGGATAGTTTTTATTGACGATCCGTTGAGACTGGCAATCAGCAGGCAGCTTCGTGTCGTTGAGTACTTACAGGCAACGGAGTTTGGTTCGTCAAGGGACGGTCACATGTCCATCGTACGGTGCAGTGATTGCTCAGTTTTAGATAATTCTTAAAAAAAAAGGAAAAGAAAATGCCATGGAGACCATCAAAGAACTTAATAATGTGAATGCTTTGCAATCGCTTGCAGTGTTCCAATAAAGAATTAAGAACATTTTTTAACAAATTATTGCTTGCACTCCTACAAACTACAAAGAAGAAAACAGTGACAGGTGACGTGCTTAAAATGTACCTAAATAATGATAGGAAATTTACCAACAAATGTACAATTAGGCCTAAAAAAATTAATTGTTTGCCCTTTAATGCTGAAAATTGTATAGGAGTGTGGGTGCAAAAAAGTTTTTTTTTTTTTATTTAGTATCTTTTTTCTCCTGTCAACAAAATTAACATATTTAAACACAATGCTTGCAATTAAACCTGTCGCACTATTTCAGGGGTATTCATCAGACTGAATAAAAATAACCCATAATCAATATTTTGCAATGAGTTTAGGCCTAGAATGGCGATAACTTACTTCAGACACCAAATTTAGACAACTTCCATATGCAAAATGGAGAAAAATAAAGATCACTTTTTCAAATTTGTGAAAAAAAATCGGGGAAAAAAAAAATTTAAACGCCAACCCTATTTTTCCGTGAGCTAGGGGTGGGCGCTGGAGGGCAAACAAACAGTTTTTTGTTTTAGGCCTTACGAACCAAATAACATACTGTATCAAAAGAATTCAATTTCTAAATTTAGGCACAGTGACTTCAATGCAATTTTTTTTTTTTTTTGACGAAGTATGCATTCTGTTCGTTGGTATACTACTAAATAAAGTATGCCTATACAGTAGCATAAAATGCAATAATAATATTTATAATAAAACAAATAATTATACAGTTCATAATTTGATAGAAAATTGTGCAGTTGTGTTTATGCTACTGATTGATCCTAATCTATGACAACACAGTTAAGCATTTTCTGGTCCATCAATGTCATTGCCATCTTTTTCCACTTATAATTATTTGTCCACTGGCAGTAATTATAGTTCTTTGTTGATACCACTACTACTACTACTACTACTACTACTACTGTACTACTACTACTACTACTACTACTAATAATAATAATAATAAAAATTCATGCATAATTATAGTATAGCATTGAACCTATTTAGACAAAATACTACCCTTTCCCTAATCATAACCCAAAAAAAATGGTACTCAATACTGTATCAACCAAATAATAATAATTTTGTGTAGCCTATTAATGTTTATATTTTAAGAGTTTGTAATGCTAAACTAACCTTGTAATATAATATTAATATTAGAATCCTTGACACTATTTCAAATAGATCAAGTGATCAATTATTATGACCTTTTGAATGAGTAGGTCACACATGATATAATCGTGTATTAGTATCTACTAAACTTGTTGTGCTTCACTGATAGTAATTGTGGGAAATTCACCCACTTCATCAATGGGCGAGTTTTCCAAACACTCAAATGACACAGTGTGAGATAAGAAAAATATCTTGATGCTAAATTCCAAAGCCATGGTAATGGTATATAGTCAGCCTGATCAATGCAGATTTTTCCAATTATCTACAGTTTCATATTCTATTTCCTAGTTATGATGTCATAACTAGATAATCAAGGTCACATACCTTGGCAACAGGTATGTCAACTTTGGGTCAAAGGGTCAAATCATTAAATATATCATATTAAACCATTTGAAATCAGAACTACTGTAGTTTGTAAACATGTGATTTCCAAACTTCATGGTTTCCTTAATGGTATACTGTTTTCATTTGTGGATCTCATTAATTTGTAGGTCGTCAAGAATTTAACATATATAGGGGGAATGATTTTTAAGGTTTTTCCATACTGTAGTATACTGTAGTATCCAAACGTTTCTTGCTTTATTTTTAGTAGCATTGGTGTAACTGCAAGAGGTCCATTACAGTACTGTATTGTTACTGTACTGTACAATGTATTGTTAATTATTTTTTCCAATAACAAGTTAATTGCCATTATGAAGCTATAGGATGTATACTCCATGGTAATACCATTATTTGCCTGTTGGGGTCAAATAACAAAGTAAACAGAAAAGTCTTTCTGTGGCAATGTGATTGGTCACCACCTCCTTTCTCCCCCCCCCTTCCCTTTTTTTTCTCTTTTGTGGGGTAATCACCACCACCTTTATTCATTTTCATACAATCAAGACATTTTGATATTTCTCCATTTTTCTGGGTTTTCATTTTTATTTTCTTACACACTTTTTTTCAAAGCTTACATTCTTTTTGTTATTAAAAGCGTATCTGGATAATAACGCACTCATTT